ATATTAGCCTCCTAAATTTCTAGGATTACAGGTGTGAGCCACTGTGCCCAACAGGTGTTCTAAATGCAATTTCCACACTGCTATTCTGAAGAAGGGCAAGAAGCAAAGAGACCCTCCTTGAAACATAGAAAATAAAAGCATTCACTATTAAGTGGAGGCAGAGTTGATGATCAGCCAAAACTACTTCAACTGTAATCCAGAAGTCCCATTGATACAGGAGTTCTAAAGAAATTATTTAGTCAGAGATTGAGGGTAAGGAAGTCTTTGGTAAGGTTTCCCTTTGAATAAAAAGCAGCCCCAAAACCATTTCTAACAAAGAGCGGCCTGTAAAATCGAGCTGCAGATATAGACAAGCAAGCTGGAAGCTTGCACAGGCGAATGCCAGCAGCTGTAACAATAGGAGGCTACTTGGGTGCCAGGCATGCTCAACCTGACGGCTTTATCTTCCTTTTTCTTTATCAACCACAAGTGCAGTAAGGGACAGACAACATGCACTGGCCAAGTAGAAAACCTATATGCATAAGAAGATTCGGGTGGATAGCCAGCTTCTTCACGAGCTATGTAAAGCTCTCACCTGGTCCAACCCATATTTGGACCCTATGTAAATCAAACACCACCTCCTTAACAAGTCTATAAAACCTTGTGCAGTTCACCAGAAAACCAGAAAACACACTCAGAAGCCCCTCTCTCTCTGCAGAAGAGAGAGATGTTCTCTTTTCTTCTTTTGCCTGTAAAACCTCCATTCTTAACCTCACTCCATGTGTATTCACGTCCTTGATTTTCTTGACATGAGGCAATGTACCTTGGGTATTACCTCAGATGGACAATGCTGCTTCATCATAGTTCTGTTTTGTTCAGGTTGTGGGACAAACGGCCCCTTTCCTCTGCAACCTCAGCTCAACCTTACTCAGGCCTCCTTCCAGCAGAATCACAGAGCCAAATGAAACCCCTTAAGTCTTCTTTTAAATTGGCAGCCGCTCCAAAGAAAGCAGCATGATGAGTTTCAGGTGGCCCGGGGTGGGGGCAGTGCTACTCTGGCTTCTCCGTGCTCAGTCCCTCTCAGTTCAAAAGCGCACCACGTGGAGCAATAGAACACCTGCTCATCTGAGTTTTAAAAATAGTGGGAGGAAAAGCGCTGTCTTCATGCTTATTTCCCTGGCAGAGGGGAGGTCATAAAACACTAATTTCTAAGCAGTGGACCAGAGTTTTACTGATCTCTTCTGTTACTGACTCATGTTTACCCAGAGAAATCACATCACAAATCTGAGTCTCCTCTGGCAAGAGAAGGAATAGGATTCATGATTCTCTCAGCCCCCTTTCCACAGTGGAGTTCTGACTCCACTTCTAAAATACTTTTCTGCAAGCCTCTGTACCTCATAAATGTTTTACTATACTCGAGACAGCAAAGGGAAGCACAGATTAGCTACTGTTTTCAGAACAGTGGAAACATGCTGTCTTCTGCAAGTTTGGCATTGGAGTCAAAGATCAAGCGCCAAACAGTAGTTGTCAAGAATCCTTTCATTTACAATCAGGTTCTAGACTTTTCAAATGGTGTGGGCAAGAACCAGTTTTGCCAGAATAGGTTATTATCTACCTCTTACCTTTATAGGATAGGACTAAAAATTCTCTTTTTTAAGACAGAGTCTTGCTCTGTTCCCGAGGCTGGAGTGCAGTGGCATGATCTCGGCTCACTACAACTTCTGCCTCTCAGGTTGAAGTGATTTTCCTGCCTAAGCCTCCTGCGTAGCTGGAATTACAGGGGCCCACCACTACACTCAGCTAATTTTTGAATTTTTAGTAGAGACAGGGTCTCCCCATGTTTGCCAGGGTAGTCTCCAAAGCCTGACCTTATGATCTGCCTACCTGAGCTGCCCAAAGTACTGGGATTACAGATGTGAGCCACCACGCTGGGCATTTTTTTTTTTAATTACACTGAAGACTTTTGAAAGGGTTGTGTGTTGTATGAACTCCCTCCTCACCCAATTCTCATGGATGGGAAAATGCTGCTGCTTCATTTTAAAGCTAATGAGCTGCCTGAACAGGAACTTCTAATTAACTATTCAAACTGATTAGCTCACGTCCCTGAAGGCTGGAGAACACGGGAACTGCTATCCCATCTGAATACAATCCAAAGGCAAAAGGCTGTGGCCAAGTTGAAATAATGGGGCAGATAGAAGCGATAAAGACTGGAGCTGGGAGTGGCCCGTACTTCAAGTTAAGCCAAACAAAGGTGTTTGCATGTTTTATATGGACCAAATAGGAATTCCATAATAGAGAAAACCATTGATTTTAAGGAGGACGCTGCCCTGAAAAGCTTCCTGCCAGGGGTAAGGAAGAGGCTGCCCAGGACCCCCAGAGGCAGGTGGTAGGAGGGCTCTTAGTGGCTTCCTAGAAACTGTATTACCTGAGGTAGTGAACTGCTGTCAGAGATCCCTACCAGGAGAATTTCTCAGGAACGCATGAGAAAGGGCCCAAAACTGCATGCCTGCTCCTAAAATGTGACACCATAATACAGCTGAACTATTCAATAAGGCCCTATCTGTTCCTCTGTCTCTCCTTTCTCCCTGCCCCTATCCAACCCTAGAAGAGCCAGAAAGCACTGCTAAGAAGTGAGGGTGGGTGGTCATAACCAAACACACTGCCCTCCTTTCCCTTCCCACTGTGGGTTTCTCAGGCTGAGGCTGTCACAGAGGAGGAGGGATGAAAATTGTTTTCGTTGATATTTTATCATGAACATTTATGAACGTACAGCAAAGTTGAAAAAACTTTACAGTGAACACTTTAACTGTATCTTCACCAACTTGGAGTCTTGTTTTATCTCATGTCCATCCATAGATCCATCTTTCTATCCATCCAGTAATCCATTATAGTTTGTAGGCATTTTAAAGTAAATTGCAGACATCAGTAACTCAACGTGCATTAATTAGAATTTGGTACCTTTTTTTTCCTTTTGGTGTAAAGTTTACAAATGATGAAATGCAAAAATTTTAAGTATGTATTTACCGAATTTTGACAAAAGTATACATATGTGTAACCCAAAACTCTATCAAATAAAGAACATTACTATAATCCCTGATATGGTTTGGCTGTGTCCTCACCCAAATCTCTTCTTGAATTGTAGCTCCCAGAATTCCCACGTGTTGTGGGAGGGACCTGGTGGGAGAGAATTTAATCATGGTGACAGTTTCCCCCATACTGTTCTTGTGATAGTGAATAAGTCTCACAAGAGCTGATGCTTCTATAAGAGGAAAGCCCTTTTGCTTGTTTCTCATTTCTCTCGTCTGCCACCATGTAAGTTGTCCCTTTGACTTTCTGCCGTGATGATGAGGCCTCCCCAGCCAGGTGCAACTGTGAGTCCCTTAAACCTTTTTTGAATAAAGTACCCAGTATCAGGTATGTCTTTATCAGCAGTGAAAAAACGGACTAATACAATCCCAGAAAGTTTCCTCATGACTTGTCTCAGTCTCCAGCTCTGTACCCTTAGATTTTTTTCATTGTAGACTAAGTTTGCCAACTTTAGAAATTCCACGTAACTTGAATCATGTTGTGATAACCCTATATATAAGGCTCCCTTCAGTCCACAAAATAATTTTTATATTTATCAGTCAGGTTACACATATCAGTATCTCTTTCATTTTTATTGCTGAGTAGTATTTCATGCTATGAAATAACGTAGTTCGCTACCTGATCCTCTATTTGTGGTCACCAGAAATATTTTCAACTTTTGATTATTATGAGTAAAGCTATTGTGGTCTTCTATAAGTATTTTTATTAACATGTATTTTCACTAATTGGGGTAGATTCCTAACTCGGAAATTTATTATAGATGAGATGTATATTCGTTCTATAAGAAAATTCCAGAAATTTGACAAAGTAGTTGTACTGTTTTATAGTCCCATTAGCAATAGTTATAGTTGTGCTGTATTCTTGCCAACATTTGGTGTTTAGTCTTTCCCAACCTAGTTATTTTGTGGGGTGTGTAGTAGTATCTCACTGTGGTTTTAATCTGCATTTCCTTGATGTTAACCATTTTGTCCCACTTGTATATTATCTTTGCAAAGTGGCTCCTCAAATTTTTTCCCCTTCTAAACAGGAATTGTTATCTTTTTTTCTTTTAGTTGTTCTGTCATCCAGGCTGGAAGGCAATGGTGCAATCTTGGCTCACTACAGCCTCTGCTTCCTGGGCTCAAGCGATCCTCCCACCTCAGTCTCCCAATTAGCTGATACCAGGCTAACTTTTTGTATTGATATTAGCCAACACACAAGGTTAATTTTTTGTACTTATACTAGGTGTCAGGGTCTCACCATGTTGCCCAGACTAGTCTCAAACTCCTGGCCTTAAGTCATTCATCCTCCTCGGCCTCCCAAAGTACTGGCACTACAGGTGTGAGCCACTGTGCCCAGCCTTATTTTCAGGTTATAAAACTGCTTTTTTTTTCTTTTTTCTTGTTACATTTACTTAATCTCAGTAGAAAGAAAAAAAAAGGGGGTAAACAGAAAGGAAATAGAAACTCCATAAAAAATAGTTATCAGGGGCTTGTGATATCCTCTCAGAAAGCAGTTTAAGGGGGCTTGTGATAGTAGTTTACATTTCAGAGATTTTACATTTCAAAGATACAATGGACCCTTTAAGGTGGCTGGTTAAACCTGTTTTTCACCAGGAGCTAAAACAAAGGCTTGGCTCCAGGGAAAATATGGGCAGAGGTCTCTGCTCCTCTCAGGCATCTCAATTGCAGTAAGTTTATTGCTTACACAGAGACTGATGGGGACATGGAAGCAGACAGCACAATGTCCTCATAAACTGCAGGCCTTTGCTTTGCATTCTGTTGTTGCTTTTAGTGAGTCAGCTCACGGCCCTTTGTCTCACTCGACAGCTCTCGAGGTGGGGAAATGCAGACAGGTCCAGCAGCCAAACTGGGGCGAGTCAACTAGCTGCCTCGAGCCCTTGGCGCGAACACTACAAGGGCCCAAAGGGATTAACTACAAATACAGTTTCAAGAAATCTGTTCTATGATGGGTGTACACAGATAACGTGACTAAAGTTCGAAACCCAAGCCTTCTATAAAATGAACCCATGTGTCCTATTCCACTACCAACTCCATGCAGCAAACCCCCAACACCCAGTTAATGAAAAGGAACACGCTTACAATCTCGCACGTCCGAGAGAAACCAGGCGATATAGTAAGCTAGCCATCAACTTTGGACAATCGAATGAGTATGTAAGTACCGCAATCAACATTAACTTTCACAGAATTAGATCAGTTAATCACAGCTATTTTCGGGTAAAAGTGGGCGGCTCTTAAAAGAGCCTTTGTGAGTTGGATTTAATTACTGCCCAGAAAGCTTTACGCTCTCTCCCCACGAATGCAGCGAGCGAGCTGAATGTCCTTGGGCATGATAGTCACCCGCTTAGCGTGGATGGCGCACAGGTGGGTGTCCTCAAAGAGCCCCACCAAGTAGGCCTCGCACGCCTCCTGCAGGGCCACCACCGCGGAGCTTTGAAAGCGCAGGTCAGTCTTGAAGTCCTGAGCAATTTCTCGCACCAGTCGTTGGAAAGGCAACTTTCGGATCAGCAGCTCGGTTGACTTCTGGTAGCGGCGAATCTCGCGCAGGGCCACGGTGCCGGGCCGGTAGCGGTGCGGCTTCTTCACGCCGCCGGCTGGAGCGCTTTTCCGAGCTGCCTTAGTAGCCAGCTGCTTCCGCGGCGCTTTCCCCCCAGTGGACTTACGTGCAGTCTGCTTAGTACGTGCCATTGTGAACTAACTGAAAAAACAAAGCCCTAAATCAGGCTCTTTACTGAAAATAGATTTATGACCATTTTCTGTCAGGCTGTGGCTTGCATATTCTTTTGTTTAATGTATCTTTTAATTTTCCCAGACACATTTTCTGCAAAATTTGTGTTAGTTTTTGTTGTATTTTTCAGATACTTTGTTCATTTCATCTAAGTTGCAGAATTTGTCACCATGACGTTGTTTATGATAGTCTCTTATTATCCTTTTCACGTCTGCAGGATCTGTAGTGATAGTTTCACTTCGCTTTCACTTCTGATATTGATACTGACCATTTGTGTTTCCTCTCTTTTTCATGATCAGAGTAGCTTAAGGTTTATTAATTTTGATATTTTAAAACAACCAGCTTCTTTGCTTTGTTAGTTTTCTCTATTATTTTGTCTGTCTTCAATTTGGTTTATCTCTGCACTTTTACCTTTATTGTTTCCTTCTTACTACTTCGTTGGAGTTTTCTTTGCTCTGTGTGTGTGTGTGTGTGTGTGTTTTCAATCTTCTTTAGGTGAACATTTACGTCATTGATTTTAGACCTTTCTCTTTTTCTTCTATTGCAGTATAAGCATGTACGGCTATACTTCCCTCTGGGAACTCCCATAGCTGTAATTCATAAGTGTTGGCATGTTGTATTTTGATTATCCCTTAGAATAAAATATTTTATATTCTACCTTTTGATTTCTTCTTGGGCTTGTGTATTATATTTAATCTCCAAGTACTTGGAGCTTTCCTAGTTCTCTTATTGTTAATTTCTGTTTTAATCCTATTGTGGTCAGGTAACATACACTGCATGAATTCAATTTGATTTAATCTATTCAGTCTTGTTTTACGACCTAGCATGTGACCTATCCTAGTGAACACTACATGTACTTGAAACATACAGTATTCTGTGGTTATTGGGTGTCGTCTTGCATTGGTTTGTTTAAGATGGTGGAGAGTGTTGTTCAGGTCATCTGCATCTTGACTAAGATTTTGTCTAGTTTATCTATCAATTGCTTGGGAGATGGGTATTAAAATCACCAATCAAAATTGTGGATTGTTTGTTTATTCCTTTAGTTCAATTTTGTTTTGTGCAAATTGATGCACAAATTATTTTTAATCCATTTTTTTGATGAAATGACTCTTCTGTAATCATGAACTATCCCTCTTTATCTTTGGAAATACTGTTTTGACTTAAGCATATTTTATTTGGTATTAATATAGCTTCTTCACACTTCCATTACTGACTGTTTGCATAGTATATCATTTTAAATGTACTCATTTAGGGTCAGGTACAGTGGCTCACACCTGCAATCCCAGCACTTTGGGAGGCTGAGGCAGGTAGATCACTTGAGGTCAAAAGTTTAGGACAAGCCTATCCAATGCAGTGAAACCCCAGCTTTCTTAAAAATACCCCCACATTTAGCTAGGCGTGGTGGCAGGTTTCTGTATTCCCGGCTACTCAAAAGGCTGAGGCAGGAGAATTGCTCGAACCCAGGAGGCAAAGTTTACAGTGAGCAGAGATTGCACCACTGTACTCCAGCCTGGGAGATAGAGTAGGACACTGTCTTAAAAAAATTCAAATGTACTTATTTAGACCTACGTATATTTGTCTTTTTTTTTCTATTCAAAGTGTGTATTTCATATACAGCACTGGGTCTTGTGGGTTTTTTAAATCAATTCTGGCAATCTCTGCACTTGAATTGGAGTATGTGGTATGATTCATTAACATTTAACGTTATTAAATATAGATTTATTAGTGGTTGAATGATGTAATTGGATTCAAGCTTACAATTTAATGGTTTGTTTCATTATTTTGTTTGTTTTTGTTTGCATCCCCTTCCCCACTTTTTGTCCTGTCCCTTTTCTCCTGATGTCTTTTGGACTCTTTAAATACTTTTAAAATTTCATTTTAAAGTATCCATGACTTATTAGATGTAGTGGTTGAATATTCCTTATCTGAATTCCTTGGGACTAGAAGTGTTTTGGATTTTAAATTTTTTTCATATTTTGGAACATTTACATATACATAAAGAGATCTCTTAAAGATATAACTGAAGTCTAAACACAAAATTCACCTATGTTTATGTACACCTCATACACATAACGCAAATAAAATTTTACATATTTTTAGCAATTTTGTGCACGAATCAAAGTTTGTATACATTGAACCATCAGAAAGCACACATATCGCTATCTCAGCCATCGATGTGGATGAATTTCAGATCTTGGAATATTTTGGATTTTGAGGTTTATGGATCAGAGATGCTCAACCTCTACCTGTTTTCATTGTTGATTATTTTATGTGTTAAAATATGTAAAAAAGGGTTAAGTTTTCAGCTGAATGAGATTTTTGAGTTTGGAAATTAAACTAAACAGGATTTTTCTGAAGTTCCAGGATACAGGTGCAGAATGTGTAGGTTTATTATATAGGTATATGTGTACCATGGTGCTTTGCTGCACCTATCAACCGTTCATCTAGGTTTTAAGCTTCACATGCACTAGCTATTTGTCCTAATGGTCTCCCCATCTCACCCTCCTCCGACCCCCAACTGGCCCCAATGTGTGTTGTTCCCTCCCTGTGTCCATGTGTTCTCACTGTTCGACTCCCAATTATGAGTGAGAAAGTGTGGTGCTTGGTTTTCTGCTCCTGTTTTGAACTAGACAGAATTTCTTAATATCTTAAATTGCTCAGTGAAATAGAAAATATCAAAGATTCTACCCAACAGGTGGGTAAGAATGAGTCCACGTAGCAACTTTGATAAAGTGAAGGGAAATAACAAACCATTTCTGATTGCTCCCTGCCACAGCCAGTGCATTCAACCTTTTTACTGTCCTTTTATTATTTTTTCATTGTTCTTACAGTCATTATTATTTTTCCCCAAATGAAAAAATAAAAGTGGTGGGATTGATAGTGAGGAAACAAAGACTGACAGCTGCCCCTACACCTGAGTTTAACTTTTGAGAAATATAGTCAACATGATGATTTTCACACAGGGCTAGTAGGCCTTCTGCATCTGTTATAATTCCTGTTATGTTGTGAACAGAAAATAAATTTTTCTCTCCATGGGAACCTGTTAGTGATACTTGAGAACAATGTCAACTGTAGACCAAAACCGAATACAAGTGGAAATATTGTTTCATTTTTTTTGCAGTATTCCTTTTCTAAGACCTGAGATAGGAGGATAAAAAAGGAAAGAACTATTGACATGTGCAACAACATGGCTGAATATCAAAAACATTTTCTTGACTAAAAGAAACCTTACATATGGAGTGATCACAATATAATTCTATTTCTATCAAACTTTAAAATCTGTGCTGAAAAAATATTTAAAAGTATATTTGGGTTTGGGGCCAACTAAAGAGGAGGCAAAACTGAACTTTCTAGTCTCTGCTGTGATCCAAAACCCATGCTATAAACTTTGTACACAGTATCTCATTTAATCCTCAAAATCACCCTAACAGGTAGTTACTGTCACTTCCCCTGCTTCAAACAGAACATAAAGCTCAGAGAATCCAGGTACTGTGTTTTTTTTTTTTTTTTTGAGATGGAGTTTCGCTCATGCCACCCAGGCTGAAGTGCAATGGCGTGATCTCGGCTCACTGCAAGCTCCGCCTTCTGGGTTCAGGCAATTCTCGTGCCTCAGCCTCCCAAGTAGCTGGGACTACAGGAACGCACCACCATGCCCAGCTAATTTTTTGTATCTTTAGTAGAGATGGGGTTTCACCATGTTGACCAGGATGGTCTCGATCTCTTGACCTCGTGATCCACCTGCCTCGGCCTCCCGAAGTGCTGGGATTACAGGCGTGAGCCACCATGCCTGGCCCGGTACTGTGTTTTACACCTACTTAGAAGTCACCAATTCCTAAAGTTCTATAAAATGTTCTAAATAAAAATGAATAAAGTAGGCAAAAAAGACCATGTAAATAGCATTTCTACAAATATCTCCTAAGACAATTTTCACATCGATGTCCAAAGACATTTACAAGAATGTTTTCCACAACACTGTTTAAAATAATAGAAAACTACAAGCAACCTAAATGTCCATGGAAGAGTTAGATTCTTTCTCTTATTTCCGTATAATGCAATACTGTGCTGATGTAGAGATATCATATTCATTTTTAAAAATTACATTCACCTTCTTCTCATGGATCCAAGGAGATATGTTAGAGAATATCTATTGCATTTGGACATAAACATAAATACAAAGGAAATAGTAGGGGCTCTCTACAAGTGGTTATATATTGGAAGAGGAAGAAGAGAAAAATAAAAGGGATCATGAACTTTGTATATGCTTTGGTAGTGTCTGGTTTGGTATATAACTTGAATTTTTTCATAAATATATTTTACAGTCTGCATAATTACTAGGTAAGAAGACAAGTAAGTCACTTTAGTAAAAGTTCTTCCAATTACTGCAACTGATTTCTACAGCCAGAATGTTCCCAGAACCTGAAAAGAGGAAGCACTATAAATGGAAGGCAGAAATACTGACACTAGAGGGCCAGAGCTGGAGAGGGTGGATCTAATGCAGCAAATCCATCAGCAGTTCTCATCGCCATCTTTGAGAAACCTCACAATTTTCCGTGCTTAATAAATGAGTTAAATTGAAAACAAATCCATGACAGTGGTGCATGAGAAAGGTTACATGTGTCCCGAATAATAAAGTCTGCGCACAATATAATTTAAAACATACCATTTTACATTCATAAGATTGACAAACAAAAAGTAAAAGCCTAGGAATATCAAGTGAAGCCAAACACAAAACAAGTTTCCCCACATTTCCTGTGGGAATACAAATTGTTACAACTACTTTAAACAATTGGAAATTCATAGTAAAAATGAAGACAAGCCTCCCCTACAATTTACCAATCCCTCTTCTGGGAACACAGTAAGAGAGATTCTTCCCAAGAAACCTGTAAACAAATGTATATGGCACTATGCATGTAATTGTACATCGTGGTATTTCCATATGGTAAAGTATTATTCGGCAGGG